TACACCTCTCTGTTGTCATATATAGGAGTAAAATCATACTACCAAAATGCACTAATAAGCAGCCTTTTTTCTTAAGCTAGCATATCTTATATAGGTTTCAAGGTGCACGAGGCTGGAATGTGAAGTAGGCCAAAGCCACCTTGATGTGAGTACAGTCAAATTTCCTGTATTGTCCCTCAGGCGCAGAGGTGTGAGGAGCGTCTCTCTGTCTCACTCACAGACAGATCTGAGTTGTCTGCATGATCCTGATATATCTGTCAGCTGTCTACAGAAATGCCTCAAAATATCAGACCAATTTCATTGCTACACATTCATCCCTCTCCTAAACAACCCACTAAAATATACCCAAGCCAAGATGCACTTCCACGTCTTTCTGGTGTTAAACACAAAACAAGATATTAAATAAAGTACTCTTTTCCATGCATAAAAAAGCTAATAATATAACAAACACGCACCTGTAATAGATTATTAGAGTACAACAACTGTCTTGTATTCCACAGTATTGATTCTAAAATGGTTTTTAAAACATCTTTATATTCTTTAAGCAATACATAATTTTCTTTTGATTTTAGGATGAAATATGACCCAGATATTTCTTTGTAAGTTTCACTCACCAACATAAATATACTACACTCCAAAAAAAAAGTCTGTAAAAACAATGCCCAATGTACTGTGTTAACATGAATTGATTTTTTGAATTACGCATTGAATTGTATTTCAGGGTTAAAGGAAATATTCCTAACAGATAATGGCATTTTTTCCTGGCAGAAAATTACCAGTAGAGATATATAACTTTACAAATAATTTCACAAACTTTAACAGCCTTTCTCTCCAGATATAAATTAATTTACTGATACTCACGTTTATCGTTCAGAATAACTGACATTTATTGATTCTGGACCACATGGTGAGGTGTAAAATACAGAAAGATTTTTTTTTTCACCCTTTTAGGGATAAAACACTAACTGTGTAGATAGAGAAAGAAACAGAGAGAGACTTAATGAAAAATGTTGTAAGTTTGAGCGTTTGGTGTGCACAACGCCTTGCAGGGGAGGACTGACAGCGACAATACTGCTATTTATAAGCACTGCCAAGCCAGAGAAAGAAAGAGAGACAGGGAAATGAGTAAAAGAGAGAAAGAGAGGAGGAAAAAAAGGGATTTAAAATGGGAATGAGTGACTTGGCAGTCAAAAAATGCAAGAAAGATGAAAATCAAAAAGAATACTAGATGAACTTGAATGAATATGTTCATCTTAAATGAATATGGGTTGAAGAAGGACACAGAGAGGAGAAGAAGTGAGTAACTGAAAGAGGGGCAGCGAGAGAGGGAGGGAAGAAAATGAAAACAAAGCGGTTAGTGTGAGATCTGCCTCTTAGGTCAGCCTCAACTCTCCAGCCTAAAGAGAGAGAGAGAGAGAGGTTTAATAGAGACCCAACACTCTAGCCAGCACAACAGGCCTTGTGTTTGACGGAGAGCTGTTAAATTCATTTAGGGAGAAAACTTTGTCCCAAATTCTGTCTGCAAATAATAAAGGGGGTGAAAAAGGGACAGAAGAAGAGAGAGAGAGAGAGAGAGAGAGAGAGAGAGAGAGAGAGAGATAGC